GAATTCTGGGAGTTGAAGTCCGTGAGTCATGAAGGGGCCATAGTTCCCCCATGCTGGCTGAGGAATTCTGGGAGTTGAAGTCCTCGAGTCATAAAAGAGCCAAGGTTGCCTACCCCTGGTATAGGTTCTCCTGCTTGAGCAGGGGGCTGGACTAGAAGACCTCCAAGGTCCCTTCCAGGCTAGGATTCTATGAATTCAGGTCATTTATAGGGGAAAACGTGAGTCCCAGAGAAGCACCGTTCAGGCTGAGCAAGAGTCTAGAACAGGGGCAGGCAGCCTTGGCTCTTTTATGACTCATGGACTTCAACTCCCAGAATTCCTGAGCCAGCATGGCTCAGCTTGGAAACCTCTCCCTTTCCCCTCAGCATGGCTGGCTCAGGAATTCTGGGAATTGAAGTCCACGAGTCATAAAACAGCCAAGGTTGCCTACCCCTAGCCTAGAGGACTTGCTTGTTAGTCACCTTCGCTGTCCGAAGAACACGCAAGGTCCTTCTCCGATGCCACAACTCAAACAAAACTTAATTTTTAATTTCAGCCCAGCATCACTCCGGGGTCTTCTATTAAAATCCACTCAGCGTGCCTTTGATGTTTGGCGTAACTGTAAATTGTCATCTCCTGGTTTAAAGTGACGGTGAAGCAAACCTTTTGTTGGAACTGGGCGGGTGTGCTATCACAATCTGTGTTTGGTCCTGCAGCTCCTTGAAGCCGAGACTCACCAGCAACCTCATCCCCCCGTTTCTCTTGAAGAAGGACCAGTCGGAAGAGAAAAAGATCCCCAAAGGCGTCCCTCTGCAGTTCGACATCAACAGTGTCTGGAAGCAGGTGGGTTGCTCCGTTCTGCCCTCCGTCCAAAACGGGGGGTGCAATTCTGTCAGCCCCGATTAAGCTCGGGCATCGGCGTCGCGCAGAGAGTTCTCGATTTATAAACATTCATTTAGTGACCGGTCAGACCTGCCGCAAGACCTGCTTGATAATCCTCTAAAGGCAGGACAAGAAGCGACGGATGGAAACTCATCCAGGAGAGAAGCAACCTGGAACTAAGGAGAAACTTCCTGACAGTGAGAACAATTAACCAGTGGAACTACCTGCCTCCAGAAGTGGTGAATGCTCCAACACTGGAAGTTTTCAAGAAGAGATTGGACGCCATTAGTCCGAAATGGTATAGGGTTTCCTGCCTGAGCAGGGGGTTGGACTAGATGACCTCCAAGGTCCCTTCCAACTTTTATCATCATCATCATCATCATCATCATCATCATCATCATCATTATTATTATTATTATCTAACAAAATGAAATTCAATGGTAAAAAAGTAAGGTTCTACATTTAGGCAAGAAAAACCAAATGCACAGGTATAGTATAGGGGGTACCTTGCTCAATAGTAGCAACTGTAAGAGGGATCTCAAGAGTCCTAGTGGACAATCACTTAGGTGTGAGCCAGCCGTGTGCTGCAGCTGCCAAAAAAGCCAACACAGTGCTGGGCTACATTAACAGAGGGAGAGAATCAAGATCATGTGAAGTATTAATACCACTTTACAATGCCTTGGTAAGGCCACACTTGGAATATGGCATCCAGTTTTGGTCACCACGATGTAAAAAAGATGGTGAGACTCTAGAAAGAGGGCAGAGAAGAGCAACAAAGATGATTGGGGGACTGGAGGCTAAAACATATGAAGAACGGTTGCTAGAATTGGGGATGTCCAGTTTAATGAAGAGAAGGACGAGGGGGGACATGAGAGCAGCCTTCCAGTATCTCAGGGGCTGCCCCAAAGAAGAGGGAGTCAAGCTATTCTCCAAAGTTTGAAGAAGAGACTGGACAGCCAACTTTAGACGTGAACCTCAGTCAACTGAACATTCAAATTGGCTGGCGCTGATGATTAACACGGGTTGCTGCCAGCATCCTAGGTATCAACCAGGTACCTCCTTAAAGTGTAAGATGTTCCAAGTAGCGCAGTTTTTTGTCGCATGACTTCTCTCTTTTCTGCTTTACAGACCAGCATGACCCTCAACGAACGCTTTGGGATCCTGAAGGAACAAAGGACAGCTCTAGCTCAGAACAAGGGCAGCCGTTTTGTGACAGTGGCCTAGGAGAGGCCCTTCCCAACCAGGGGCGTCCTCCTTCGAAGACGCTGGAGAGACTGTGGTCCAGAAATCGTGGGAGATGTTGGACTTTTTGTGTCAAGATCCCGAAGGAGCTGAATCCTCTTCCCCTTCATTTACTCCTCTTACTTTATACCGGGACGTCCAACTGTGACCGCTTGTAAAACGCGTGGACTTCACTTCCCAGAAATTCCCCAGCCCAGCCACGGGAGCTGAAGCCCACGACTCTTAAAAATGGCCAAGGTTGGACACCCCCCTGCTTGGAATAGTTATAGACCAGACAACCCAACCCTCTCGTATCTCAATATAAAAAGGAAACGCAGCACGCTTTGGTTGCCTGGAGGCGGGCAGGTCCAATTAACCCCTGCAAGAAAGGGGAGGTCATAATTTGCTTTTTGTTGTTCTTGTGGTTGTTTTTGAAGATGCCGGTAGGTGTTGACGCTCCTCCACCCCAGTGCTGCAAGGATGAAAGACTTACACAATTGCTCTCCTGGTCCGGTTTTGTTTTAGTTTTTGGCCACAGACCTTCCCGGGAAAATCAGTCCTCAAACGTTGTAGTCTGTTTCATCCGAACGGACTGCCTGGCCCGTTTTCTTCTAGCTGACCCCCAAATCAGAAGCAACAGGGGAGGTGGGTGGGTGTGGAATAATTTGTCGTGATGGTGATTGGGGATCTCCCATCACGGCTTCCCTAGCGGCGCTAGCGTGAACCCAATCCGTAGGCTTGCAGAACGAACGTGTGAGTATCTTCATAGTAAAACCTCCCGCCACCTCGAGTTAAAATTTTATCCTTCGGTCCCTAAGCGAGCTGCTGGCTCGCTTCAGGGCGTCCTCCACCGAAGTGAGCCCGGTTCCCTTTAACGTCACCCGCCGAGTTTTGTTGACGGTTGCTTTGTTGTATAGTGAGACACGTGCACTTTGTGACTCCTCCACTTACCTGTCGTTCCGCCGAGGGACCTTCCTGTTGTGTAAAGGGATCAGAAGTCGTGGAGTCAACATCTCAGCTTATATACCCCAAACTCTCTGCATGTTTGATTTTTATTTTATTTTATTTTTTTTTACTTCCAACCAGGAGATATTTGGAATCCTAAGACGAATAACGGAACTGCCTGCAGGGACATCCTGAATTTCTGGATGTTCATCGGAGAATTTTGATTAGTTGGCCTAGGGTCAGAAGATACACCTGACTCTGAAATGTTCATTTTATTGTGGTTTTCAAAGCAAAGAAGATTTGGGCAGTCCTTAGAGCATTTTTTTTTCTAAATAGTCATGGCCCATGATGATTATTGTTCTTTTGTTTCTCAATTTTTATATACATATACACACACACACCTTCTGTGTCAGTGCTTCTCAGTCTTGGCAATGTGTGGACTTCAACTCCCACAATTCTCCAGCCATCCATGCCTGTTTCTTTTTCACTTACCCCCCTAAAGTGGAGAGATTGCAGAGGAAGGGATTACAAAGAGAGTAAGCTAACGCTCCTGGGAGTTGAAGTCCACGCATCTTCAAAGTTGCCAAGGTTGAGAAACACTGTTCTATATCATTGCAGTGGGAAAAAAGTCTGGGACATATTTATTTTTTTTTCAAAATTGTGTACTAAAAATTCTGTTGGAAGTTTGTTAAAAAATGAAGTAGGCCGGCCTTCCTTTAACCCGGTGCCCTCCAGGCGGATTGGAGAAGCTTCCATCATCCCCCCCCACCAGTTAGGGACATTGTAGTAGCCCCACCCATCTCACGGGCACCAGGTGGGAGAAGACTGAAAGAGGTGGTATGCCGAGAGCCATCCTGCGTTTGGTTTGTACCAGGATGCGATTAAAATGAACGAACAAACCTTTTGCATCAAACCGGATGCAAAAAAATCGATGCAATGCATCTCAAGAAAGCTAGTTTGTACTTAAGGAGAATATACTTTAAATCTGTACCTTTGGGTATTTTTGTTTTTTTTTTTGGAGAAGTTAATACATTTGGATCTATTCTAAAGCTGTTGGACTTTATAAAAATAAAAAAAAAGTTACAAGTTTGTGGGTGTGCGCAGTGGTTACTACATTGGGCAATTGGCCTGTGCAGGTACTCCTTGATTTACAACCCCAGTTGAGCCCAAATGTATTTTGTTTGCTAAGTGAGTTTTACAACTTTTCTTGCCACGGGTTGTTAAGTCAATCATTGCATTTGTTAAGTTAGTAAGAAGGTCGTTAAGA